AAGAAAGAAAGAAAGAAAGAAAGAAAGAAAGAAAGAAAGAAAGAAAGAAAGAAAGAAAGAAAGAAAGAAAGAAGTCAAGTCAGCACATTCAGATCTGGGACTGGAATGTATCCATTGCATTTGTCTGTGTGCCTTTGAGTCAGTGTTGACTCCTGGTGATTGCCTGGATTAGTCCCTGCAGTTTTCTTGGCAAGATTTCAGAAGTGGTTTGCCCTTGCCTCCTTCCTAGGGCTAAGAGAGAGGGAGTGGCCCAAGGTCACCCAACTGGCTTTGCACCTAAAATGGGACTAGAACTCATGGTCTCCCGGTTTCCAGCCTAGTGCCTCAACCGGTACACCAAATTGGCATTCTTATCCATTACCAAGCATTTCAAAAATTCCAGTACCAGAGAACTTTTATATACAAAGTTTCCAGTATTTCAAAACTGTTGTTCTGCTCTGAATGATGACGGTTGTTGCATCCAATTTTTTTACATTTCAAGGGTTTTTGCATTGTTAGGGGGTGTATTCATCTCGCCACATCCACCCTAATGATAGACTATTAACTCTGTGACCAGTAAAAAAGTTCATTTCCCCTATGCTTTCCTTCTTTAATGCTAGGGACAAACTATGATGTTTTTCATATGGTATATATGATTTTATTACGTACATTTTCAGCACAGGAAGCAATCAGCTTGCTGTATGTCACAAGAGAAGCTTTAACCTTTTGCCTCTATAATGCCTCTCTCAACTTTTTACATTTAAAGAGAATAGAAGAAATCTCTTTTTATAATAGCCATTTGTTATCTGAAGCAAGGGTCAAGACTGCCTGCTAATTCTGATCCATTAAGTTTAAAAATATATTCAAATAAACCTTATTTTAAATGAAGTTTAAAAATGTATTTAAAGAAATGTTATTAAAAGGCATAAGCTTTTGTGAGCTGCAGGAAATTTTTCGTAAAATACTTGTCTAACCGTTCAAGGTATGCATTAGTACTGACAAAACCTCAAGTGTGTCTACATATATAATTATTTGATAATAATAATAAAACAGGAAGTTTTGTGAATATATTTGAACTTCAACAAGCTAATGCAAGCAAGATTGTGGATAGACCATTAACCTGTTTGGATTTGATGATTCTTATCTACTAATTTGATTGCATTTTACTCTGACAGTACCAATACAATGCTAGGTTGAGCATGAGGTGTTGCACTTCACAGTACTCAGAAGAACCATACCTGACTGTCTAGCATTGCTCAAATCATAGGCTACAGTTAGCATCGGATAACACCATTCATGGTATAAACCAAGTTAACCGTTTCAAGATAAGCTGTACTCAAACTATACACCTAAGAAAAAAATTCAGATTGAATTGTAGTCATTTAAATACATAAAATAGACAACGTGTTGGGTCTTTGTGAGCTGTCTGCAGGTTATGTGCCACCCCAGCAGAAAAACTAGTGTGGAAGAACAATCCTGCTCTTCACAATAAAAATAATTAAAATCAATCAATTTTATCAGAGATTTGGCACTAATGATTGACACTCTTCAAGAGCTGACCCAGTAGCTGTCTATTACATATCATTAGAGCCCTGGAAATTATAAAAGATTGAAAGGGCAAATTTAGATTTAAAGTCCTTGCTGTCATTCAGCATGACACCTACATCCTTTTTGTAGAAGAGAGGAAAACTAAGTCTTTGCAGACATTATGGCTACACTAGAATGCAACTGACCAAATAAAAGTGCAACTAGTATCAACAGTGTGTTGAAATGCAAGATCTATTATCATTAAAGAGGAAAATAGGAGAAAAATGACAGGTTTTTCAATCTACAGTACTTAGTATAAGACAGCCAGTTTGGTGCAGAGGTTTAAAGCCTCAGGCTAGAGATTGTGAATTCTAATTCTGCCCTAGGCACAAAACTCAGCTGAGGAAGAAAGCAACAGCAAACCAATTCTGAACATCTTGCCCAGAAAACTGCAGAGATTTGTTTAGATGGTGGCCAGGAGTCAAGAATGACTTGAAGGCACAACCCTCCACCCCAGCTTAAGTACACTACTATATATACATGGCCAGAGAAGACACGCAGTACTATGATTTCCCCTTGGTGTCATGGAGAAAGCCTACTTAAATTTCTGTCTTGGCAGATAAAATGACACCTTTTGATCACTGATTTTTGCAATATAAAAGAATCTATAGTTAGAGCCACGAAAATAGTACATACTGTTTTAATTAATACAGAAGTGGAATTCAGCTTCAGTGCTGTGAAAAAAACCCCTCACTCCTGATATCTAGTATATCCAATCTCACATGCATCAAATTTCTGATTAAGTCTATCAAGCACTTCAATGCTGAGCCATATGTAAAATTACGATTGTGCAATTAACAGTTGGCTCCAGGTCTTTGCAGGGAAGAAATACATAATCCATCGAGGAAACCACAACTGTCCACTCTATAGTTGTTATTATTTTTTGCTATTTTAGTGGTTGAGAAACGCCCCTTTTTATTTTCTTAATTTAACTTAGGAGGGAAAAAGCTTCAATCGTAAACATCAAGGAGTTAAAACCCACTAACGGCGCTGCCTTTTCCTCTTCCTACTAACTGGCTCTTCTTCTGCGAGGGGCGGGCCGCATTGAATGCTAAGCGCGGGAACGAAGGCGGGGAGTGAAATTTAAAAATAAAGGAGAATGCGCAGTCTGTTCTCCTGGATGAGGTTGCGGTCGTGGGTGGCTTTAGGGAACCGCCGCGCTTGTGCGATACAGAAAAAGGAAGAGTTGGAGCTCCGTTCTCGGAGAGGAAAATTACTAATGCATTGGGGAGGGGTGAAAGCTGTCCATTGAAAACAAGGAAGCCTTACAGCGGTGATCGGGTAGCGAAACAAAACGTAGCAGGGTCCTGTTCTTTCCAACTCTGGGTCTTATTTCTTGTGAAGCTAGCTATTTTAAAAAGCCCTACCAGTTTCAATAATACATTTGTCACCATCGCTCGCTTCGCTATGCCCTCCTTTCTCCTCCCTCTCATAACGGCGGTACCTGTAAAGTACGCATAGTAATTTATTAAACTTGTATGTCGCCCGACTCTCAATGACGGGTGTGTGTGTGTGTATACACACATGTAATACGCATGTACACATACATCCTATTTCTTTTTCAGGACTATATAAGATAGATTTGGCGAACCGGACTGTGATCGAGCAAACCTATTGGACAATGCAATTGCTAACACTTTGTCGGTTTTGCTCCACAAAAGTAACACGTCAATACGCCATCTGACAACACTGAAATCTTGATTATTTGCAATTTCGTTTTCTTCGGCCGCCCAATCGCGCAGGATGGCTTGCAAGGGTGAAAAACAATATAAACAGAAGAAAACTACTACAGGAACGGCCGCGCCCGGGATTTCGACTGCACAGTGGGCAGACAAAGGCTCGTCTAACTCCTCATCGTTTGCATACAGTACAGTGTATACAATGGCGCTCCATGCATGTTATTTGTAGCCATGCTGCAGTTTCGAAGTTGTGAAAATCGAAACAAAAAGCAAGCTTTTTTCCAGCGACCCCCTAAGCTCCTCGGAGTTCCTAACCATTAAGTCTGCCAAACCCTCCCTCTCCCCAGTTCGGCGATTACCGGTTCCGGCAGCTCCGCCGCGCTCTCAGATTGCAGAGCCGCGTCCCGCGGCTGACTCCCTATTGGTTCCCGGCGCTCCAATAGTTGGCGCCAGGGCTGCGGGGCTTGGGCTTTGCTCGGGCACTTGGGGGAGGGGCGCGAGATGACGTCGACGGATCCCATTGGCTGAAAGTTGGAGGCCTCCGGAGGTTGCGCGACGAGCAACGGCCGAAAGTGAAGTCCGGCTTCGTTTGTTGGGCATGGAGCGGGGAGAGCCGGCGGCGGCGGCGGCTGGAGAGTCTGCTGGCAGCGCCCGTAGTCTGCCAGAGGTGCATTGCTTTCCGCTGCTCTGGAGCGGGGTCGTTGGAGAGCCGCAGCGAGCGGACGCTTATTTTCCGAGCTGCGTGGGGTGGAGGGGGAGGATCTGCTCTGTGCCGGATGGGGAGGGGTCCTTCTCGCCGCCTCAGGTGTGAGGCACGCGTGTTGCACGGTACAGGGTTCCTCCCTGTATTAGGGGGTCGCCCATGCTCCTGGCTCAAAGCATCTCTTGGATTGTCTAGGGCTGGGCTAGGGTAATGCGCTGCAGCAGCAGTTCCCGCAATCATACGAGACGCTGTGTCTTGAACTCTGGTCTTCCACCAAGGAGATCTTACGCGATTTCCTCACCTCCCCTTCGCCATTATGAGCCGCTGACAGCTCTTCACCGCTCTTTAATATGTATATATATTAGTCTGTCCTGCGCTGATTGAAAAATAAATCGTTGTTCTTTCGTCTCATGCTGTTTTTCTGTTTTTGGATTGCTCTTTGTTTTTAAATGTTTTTAACAACTGTAAACCACCCAGAGCCACTGGGAGTCGGGCGGCACATACATTTAACAAATTATTATTAAATTATAAACAGTTTGTTATTTTTATTTAATTGGAGTAATAATAATAGTTACAGACAGACTGCACCAGCCATAGTGTGTTGGTCCAGCTGCTTGTATTAGACACAGGCTCCTGAACAACATATATGTTCACTGTCAGTGCTTAAAAACATCAAGATTTCCCTTAAGTGAAAGGATTTTGCTTTAGAAGTTAATGAGGAACTGATTTAGCAGGGATAATCTAAAAAACAAGGGAGATGACAGTGTATCTTAAACATCTTAAAAATTAATGTCTTTAACAGGAAAAGGGGTAGTTGAAGTCATAATAAAGATGCTGCAAGATTTCAGAATTCTTTGAATCCATAGCAGAATATTAATAACAGATGGGACAAATAACTGGATACTAATAATCTAATTATAAGGAAAGAAATATTAAAATGAAGTATAGTATGCAAATGACATTATGCAAACCAGACTTTTGCATACTATTTGTTTTGTGGTGGAATAAAATGTACATTTTAACTAATAAACTAGTTTATACTGTTCAGAATGGTTTCTATTATAGGGAGACTGAAGGTGTATCTGGATAACTGGATGATTTGAAATAGAAGAGCATGCATTGCTGATCCAAATTGTTTTAAATCAACAGGAAAAATGACCAACCCCAAACAGTCAAAGTATAGTGCTGATGAAGAAAGCTTGGATCTTTTTTAAAAGGACTGTAAATTCAATTCTGATACTCAGAACATTCTTGAATCTGGAGTTATTTAATTATATCCATATGTTTATTGCAGCTGCTGGGTCTCATGGTTATAATAAAAGCAAATTTAGAGTTTTCAAGCTTGAAAACTGCTCGTCATCATGCTGATGGATATATGAATGTTCTTGTGTATGTGTACAAATATATGTAATGCACTTTGCTTCTCCTTAGGCTCAGGAACAACAAAATTGTGACATAGGTGAATTTTTTGAGTGTGAAGATGAGAGCAAAAACCTACATGCTAAATTAATGGAGGAACAACAGCAGTTATTAGAAGAATTGCAACAAAAAATGGAAGCTACACATCAAGGAGAGCTGCAACAAGCAGAGGTGCAGTATTCAATAGAATAAGCTACTGCAGATTTTAAATCCCCATTGACGGCAACCATGACTTGTGTCATTTATGTTGTCAGCATGATGTTACACTACCATTAATTATGAGAGCAAGCTGCAAGGAAACATAGCATGCTGCCCTCAAAACCCCAAATAAACCTTCCAATATATCTTCCATTTTTAATAGCAGCATGATTCCAAGGAACACAGCATTGGAACTCCAATACTGTGAGAAACTGACAATAGTTATAATAAAGCATATTCATTCATATGCTGTCTTTTTTAATTTGTAGGTCCCAGATAATCTTAAATTGGAAGCCTTAAGGCTAAGTTCAAATAATATACGCACATCTCAGATGGAGCTAATGCAAATGAATCTGACAAAGGAGAAGGAAACTGCCCTAATGGAGCTCCGTGAAATGCTTAATGATAAGCATGCTCAAGAAATTGCAGTTCTGCAAAGTCGATACCATTTTGAATTGGAGCTTATAAAGAAACAGAATCAGAAAGAAAAAGAAGAAATGGCTTTGAAACATCAACGTGATATGGGTATACAACTTATAGCTTCTGACTCACTAGTATAATTACTAAAACACTAGATTATTTGAGGAATTGTTTTATTACTATTTGGAAGCAAAATGAATCCCAAGTACAGTAATAACAGATCATATATGAAATTAAGTGAAATTAAGTAATATGAAATAAAAAATGAGTTGCCAATAAGACTTAAAAAAAATATTTAAATGAAATAACAGCAAATATATTTTAAACTTTGCAGAAATCTGACTGTTTTGCACAAGCTGAAAGTGGGAGTATTTAAAAGAAATTATGTGCAAAAATTTATATACTAAGTTTGAAAATTAAGGAAGAATGTGCTTTGACTACAGACAGTCCCCTACTTACGAACTTTTGAGTTGTGAACTTTCACTGATACGAACAAGATGGACCCAGAAGTCAGGGGAAGGCAGGAAAGGGTTAATTTCTGGAGCACTGCAAACTAACCCTTTCCCGCTTTCTCCCGCCTTCCGGGAGATTGGAAGTTTGTGTTGGAGTTGGAGTTCCTGGAAAAGGTTAGTATACCGGGTGAGGCAGGAGATGTAGCGGTGGCTCCCTGGGTGAAGGGATGAACTGGTGGGACACAACATGCTCTGTCGCTGTCCTGCCTCACCTGGCAATGGAGCGCACTGCGCCCCACTGGCTCATCCCACTGCACTCTCCAGAGTCTGCATGCTATCGCTCCTCACATTGGCAGCAGAAGACAGGGCTCCTCTGCCCACACTGCTGCCCTGCCTCCTGCCTGCTGCTCGTTTTTTTACTTTTTACAGTACTTTTTACTTGGTTGGACTTACAAACAAAATGGACTTACGAACAGCCTCTTGGAACGTAACTTGTTAATAAGTAGGGGACTGTCTCTAGTTAATTTAAAAAGTTTTCACATGAACATATGTGCCAGTTACATTCTGTCCCATTTCATATTTCAGATGAACAGAAGAAGGAAATAACTCTGGAAATGGAGGAGAAACATCTTCACGTTTTGGAGGTATTGTGTATAGTTTGTTACTTTTAGTAAATTACGTTTATTTCTATCTTAAAACAGAAGATCTGTTTTAATATTCTTCAGAATCTGATATGAATATGTTAATTAAAAATAGGTGATATATTAAAATTCTGAGATGTCAATAAGGTCTGTGTGTTCTAATTTCTAATCTAGGTTAAACTTCATATTGTACAGAAGATACCTTGAGCTTACTGTCCATCTTGTGTGGGATCACACTGTGGCTTAATTTAGTGATCTGTAACAAGAAATTGAACTGTATCTCACACAAATGTGTGTACATGTTTTTTTCTATGAATATCCAGACATGCTAGTAGAAATAACTGACAAAGCTCTGGACAGGTGCCTACTCAGGGCATGCTCCAGATCTGACGTGCTTTTGGAGGCCTTTTCTTTCTGGTGGGTTTATCAAGTGCTATTAAACAATAAAAACTGACAACAGGTCCTTTGCCTCTTCCCTTTTGGGGTATGGGGAAAGAACAGAGGAAGAATATTGCTTCCTGCTCCCTAGCCACTTAAAACAGTGTTTTTCTTTTTGTTCTGGAATCTAACATGGAACCAAGAATTATTATTATTATTTTTTTTGCATTGAGCCAGGATGACCATACAGTGCCAGCAGTCATGTTGCTTGATTACTGGATATTGTTACTTCTATGCCTGGCTGCTTGTCTGGAGTAGTACTGATGGAAACATCTTGAAATTACAACCTGAACAGCGTTGAAAGAAGCTAATAACTAAGGGATGACAGAAGCCCACCTTTGGCCAGCAGCTGAGAAGCACTGCTGTTTGTAGTACTCTGAATTCTTAAGATTGCTTCTGTTATTGCTGACCACCTGCAGCAGTGCAAGCACTCTTGGCTACTGACTCTCCTGTCCCAGTCCTACCTACTACCTGGGCTATTTTGTTTTCTAATAGCTAATAGGTTGGTGATCAGTAACTGGGAGGCAATACCACCTGCCTTACTCTGAGCTCTTCTGCCTTTGGAATGCAGGAAACATTAAAGGCATGGGAGAAAGGGTATATGTGTTTAAACAGGACAGGGCAGCTGTGCTGAGAAGAGTGACAGATGTTGCTGTTTCAGTTCTCTCACAGTGCCCCTGATGTAAGAAGTGAAGTGTGGGAGTGAAGTTGCCAATACCAGTCTTCCTAGGCTCACCTAGTTGAGGATACATTCAGAGTTCTGTGTTTCCCATTAGGAGACAGCTTTCAGAGGTGCTAAAGGAATCCTAAGATAAACATTCTTTTTGAAAAAAGAATATGTTTTGTGGCTCGATATAGGCCTTGCCCTAGAATTTTGTTTTTGCAAAGTCTTTAGTAGCTGGGACAGATAGAGTAGAAGAGCCCCTAAAGTTACAAAAAGTCCAATTTGGAAAGATTTTGTTAAGATAATGGCATTTTAATGATTAAATTTCATTTCCTTTTAGAATCTTAAAAAAGAATGGGCATTGAATGCAGATGTCAGTTTAAAAAATGTATCTGAAGAGTTATCTCTAAAACATCAGACCGAATTGAACAAGATGAAACAAAACTTAACAGCAGAAACTGAAGAATTAAAGAAAAAAATGGAGAAGCTGTCTCTTGAAAAAAGACAGGCTGAAAGTAAGCACTGCATTTTGGCAATAATTATCTCCCCAATATCTCTGTGCTTCTCAGACAAGTCAAGAAATCAGCAAGATACAGGATTTTATCTTACCATTAAAACAAGTAGATGCTTTGCCACTGTTATCAGTAGACAGTAGACTGCATTAATTTTGAAGCATATGTCTTTCAGAAGTGAAAGACAAACATAAGAAGTGATATGGAATTTGTTAAGTCTTACATAACTAGGAATCAAAACTGTAATTAACTATTAGAATCGATACTAGTACATTAGATAATGTTGCTTTCTTCTTAGTCTCAGACAGTCATGATTTCCTTTGCCTGCCGCTACTGGTAGGAAGAGTGATGGTGTAAGGATTGCAGTAATCCTCTCCCTCTGCCAGCAGTTCTAAAGAATCTTCTCTCTCAGTTTTACCCATGTCTTCTGCACAGTGTGTTGGACACTATTTAATAAGGTGTCCAGATTTGGTATTAAGTCTCTTTCCAGTCTCTTTCCTCCTGCCAGTAATCCCACTCAAGAAACAGCAGCATTACTTGCAGTGGGATTTTTGAAGGAGTAGAACCTCTAGTGGGGAGGGGCTGGGCTTATAGCAAGGAATATGTAAGACCTCATTAGCCTCTGTGCTCAGCCATTCGCGTATTCTCTGAAACAGAATGTTTAATCGTCCCTCATTGTATTGTTTTGAGTGTTCCATGCTGATCTGAATAAGAATGATTAAATATCTATTAAGTGAAGAATATTGATGAGAGGATTAGATCTTTGTCCTTGGTGTTGGGTCAATTCCTTGCTTTTGCTCTGTCAGTTTTGTTCCAAAGGAATGCGGTATTGTAAAGTTGTTTTAAGGTTTGTACAATTGCAGCATAATCAATTTGGAACTCAGGTGGAGAAACAACACATGCTTTCATTTCATGCAAATTCCTTGCCGAGGTCATTTTTGTTATTTTATTATTGTATTTTATGTGTTTTATGTCACTGTTTTTCATTATATTTAAATGAATTCTTTAAAAAATGCAGTGTACATAGCAGATAATATATAAATATTTTAATAAATAAATATGTGTTATCTTGGCCCATTGATACAGCCTCAGAAGGATTGTGAGGAATTCAGTGATTTAAGCTATCTACAAGCTGTTACCTTGTCCTATTTCCTCTTCATATATATCCATTCTAGAAAGACTATCCAGGTTCAGATAATTTTGTCCCTAAACTGCTAACCATCCTCCTTTCCAGTTATCCCATTTGTTGTTTTTTTCCTGATGTGGTTCATCTACATGTTCTAGGAAGAAACTGCTTGAAATACCAATTTCTCATTTCTTGTTTCATATTATAGCCTTTTCTGTTTTTGGATTGCTCTGAAGATTACAATGATTTCTTTTTTAAAAGTTAAAATGAAATTATGCAACTTAAGCAGACCATCAATTTCACTCCTTTTTTCCTACACCTCTTCAGAATTCTGCAGCTCTCTATTTCTTATATTAGAAAAGGTGATTTAAATGAGTCGTCTCAAAAGAGGCACTGTACTTCATGGGCAAAAGGTGTGCATTTTGATTTTTATAATACAAGAATGTTCATAACAGAACTCAACATTATTTTGTAGTGGAACATAAAATTCTAGAAAATAAATACCATCTAACCATGAAAACACTGCAGAGTGAACATGAAAAAGAACTGCAAGATGTAAAAGAGCAAAGCAAGAAACAAGTAGAAGAGTTGCAGCAGGAGGTAAATATGCTTTATGGAAACAGAATTTGATAAAGACAAAACCTCTTGAGAGTTGGTACTGTAACAGGCTGCGCAGAATTGTGCCTTACTGCTACATAAAATCATAAAGTAAAAAAAGCATCTTGTCCTTTCCATGTGTAAGAATCTGCTGGTCTGACAATAACTTAGAAATTCACTTTTCTGTGGCAAGTTTTGGCATTGCCTCACCTCAGATTTGGAGTACTGTATCCATATATGTCCATAATATCAGGAAGCTTAACCTATTTCAGACTCTCCAGAGCTGTTGAGGAAAATATTTTAGTGCTAGTGCTCTTAATAGATATCTATATACATGTAAAGTCTCGTAGTTCAACTCCTAGTGACTTCTGGCTGTATTTTTCATAGCAACAGTATGAAAATTGTTTTCCGTTGTTTTCTTCCAGATTTTTTTTTTTTAACTTCCTAGTCTGGCATACTGCTTTGGTGTATCCTGGTGGTCTCCTATGCAAGCACTCACCAGGTCTGACCTTACTTCATTTTTTGAGATTGGCCAGAGTAACATACGTGCCTTGCAGGGTGTAATAGTTTTCTATATGGCTTTGATAACTCACATTATTGTGATATACAACAAAAACTTTTTGATAGAATCAGTGCAAGAAGAGCATGATTTTAAGCATTTGTGTCTGTGAGAGCCCACAATCTGGCACTTCTCCATAATAAAGGATAAGGAAAAGTACATCTCCACTAACTTTCTATATCTAAAGTATTATCAAATATTAATATTCTTTATGTATGTATGGTGATCCAAATGAAAAGTGGCATTTGTTTCTAATTATTGATTCTTCAGCTTCTTAATAATAGTTACACAGTTCATACAGTAAAATTTTAGTGTAAAAATTGACAAAGATGTGGTAACTTACCATGACTTCTATAGATACAGAAACTAAAGGCAGATTCAGAAGAAGAAATGGCACAACTTTGGTCACAACTGGATAGCGCACGGGCAAGTCGGCAAGAATTAAGTGGTAGGTTTAAAATTGGGAAATTGTAAATTGTAATTAGAATAGATTTGCTACCATTTAGTGACTGTATTTTGCTTTATGTCTGGTATGTTGCAGTTTATCAGTGACATGTTTTACACCCTCATAATGAATACTTAGTAAAGGAATAATTACCAGTTTTGAGGGAAATTGCAATTTTAATCTCCACATTTTAGATTATATCTACCTTCATTTTTGGAAATAGATGTAATTTTCCCTGTTCAAAAGTATGGGCCGCATGTATCACAAATTCATTTGCAAATTTTTAATTTCAGTTCAAAGTAATGGTATTTGGTCTTTATAGGCCTGAGTGATCTGGAGCCAGGGTACAACAGGGATCACTGCTTTTCATACACAATTTTCCCATTCACTCAACTCTTTGGAAGCCTTGCTTAGTTATCTTTCATCTCTTAAATAGCACTTAATAATTGCACAAAGCAAAGCCATTCAGAAATACTTCCATAGATAAGGAATTCTCCTAAGAAAGTTAACTTAGCAATCTTAATGAATGGATTAATCATGATGTTATTTTGATTTACCACAAAAACTTAACTTGATAGAATCAAGGCAAGAAGAGTATGATATCAAGTATTTGTGTCTGTGAGATCCCAAAATCTAGCATTTCGCCATATAATAAATGTCCTGAAGTACACCTCCACTAACTTCCTATACAGCATCTAATGTATAAAATATTAATATTCTTTATGTATCTACGGTGATCCAAACGATGATAATGATGGAGAACTTTCTTTTAAATTAGTTTCGTATTCAAACTTTTGGTGCTGCTGAAAATGTGCTATGTTTTAATGATTATGTTAGATTTTTTTAAAAAATCAGGATTGTTGACGTTCAGTCACTTCCAAATCTTTATGATCCGATCGCTATCATTTTGTCAGGATTCTCTGTCATAAATTGATTCTTTGAATTCTTGTAAGTGCATTATCAATGATAGTATTTGGCCTCTCTTTCTATTGCTTTAGATTTTTCTAAATATCAGGGTATCATCGACATATTTTGCCATTTTGTAAATGGCAGTGATTTTCTGCCTTCACAAATAGGCAAGAGAAGATTTCAGAACACATTTTTAAAATTATATCAAGAGAGGAGGTTCAATTTTAAAACTATTTATTTGGAGTTTTTTTTTTTTTAATTCTTTCCTTTGAACTTTATAAAACAGATAAGCACTCATTGGCTTCAGCAGCAAATGGCAGCTTGGAAGAATGCTGATCCTAGCAATTCAGCTTGTATATTATACTTCAGTGCTGGAAAAAGGTCCCTGTGAAACTCAAAATAAAATAAATATTTCTTTCTGATAAATTCTGCTGATTACTAACATGGAAGGAATTTATTTGGTATTTATTTCTAGATTTGTTTTATATGATGAAAGTCTTCTGTCTCATTGCACAGGCAGGGTATAGTGAGGGATTCCTAAGGATAATTTACTATTGTGGCCTGCTGGAAATTACAACAGTGCTTGTTTCTAATACTTCTAATTAATTTGGCATCAGAAAATGGAGAATTGTTCTCATTCTGCTTTGTGTAGTAGTAGGGACAGTCTGAATGCAAGAATGGTTCATCTCCCTGGGGATAGCTTCAGCTTGTAGACCTTGCCTACAAGTCAAACAGAAGGTATTCTTTTTTATGTGGAGAATGCTGTCTGACTCAAAGTAAGAAATTCAAGATAAGACATTTCCTGCCTATTTTAGGAATTCTCTTTTAAAGATCTGATAAAGAGCATGATGGGCTCATTATGAGCATAATTTAATAATTATTGGAATTGCACAACTAATTCATTATAGGTCACAAAACCTCTATGTGGCTTTCTCAGCTTAAGGCAGAATGTGCAATTTGTAGCCTTACACTACATGTTATCCCCAAAGCCCTTCCAAAATTAATTTTGAATAAATAGTGAAATATTGTGGAGTATTTATATTAAATATATTAATTTTAATTTCATTTTGCAACTTTAGTTTTTGTTGTGGTCCCATCATTTTGTGCAATGCAATCTAGATGTACCATGGAGAGACTGAGTATGATTCTTTGCCCAGAATGTATTCCAGACCTCAGCCCTAAGAAATGCAAAAACAGGGACAATTAAAAATGGGTGTCATGTTACAGTTTGGGATTTAAGGTGTGTCTTTGATCTGAAAAGTTGTCTTGAGTCTTTCTGATTTGACAGCCATATAAGTCTAAGGAATAAAATAGAACTGCTGTCATATTAGTTCCCTATATAGACATATACACTACAGACTTGAGTTGATTTAGCAGTCATGGCATCCTGTAAAATTCAGATTGGCAAGATAGAATAAGAATGGCTTTTAAAGAATAAAACTGTGGTGAAAAACGTAGGACGAATATAGCTTTATTCATTTATTTCTCATATAACTCATAATTTCTTTTCAAACAGAGGGCCAGCTGAGAAAATAAAATTATATTATAAATTTAAGCTGCAATCCCATAGACATATATCAAAAAGTGTGTCCTATTGAATTCAATGAGATCTTTTGCATAAATATGCATGGAATGGAAGTTCATGTTCTTATAATGAGATCGCTATGTGTTCGTTCAGAATTAAGTCCCATTGTTTTCAGTAGTGCTTGCACTCAGTATTGCAGCCTTAATGGTATGGGAGTTGCATTTTTAAATTATTTTATTTCAGCTGAATTAATATGTTTAAAGTGAACAACTTTATCTTTTTTACCCATCAGAACTGAAAATACAGCTGCTTGCTCGTACCTCACATGTGGAAGAACTTGAATATCTGAAAAAAGATTTTCAACTTAAATGGGAAAAAAAAAGGACTGAACATGAAACTGAGTTGGAACAACTAAGGCTTTATTTTGAACAGAAATTAAAGTCTGTGGAAGAAAATTATAGAGAAGAATTAACAATGCTGCATCAGAGATTGCAAGAAGTAAAAGATTATTCCATAGTAGAGATGGACAAATCCGAAGAACAAGATGTGGAATTTGGGTGAAGTTAATGATTTAATATTGCTATTGTGCTATTGGTTCCACCTCAGTGAGCTTTAAATCCTAGTTTAGGTTGAATACAGTAATGATCTTAATTTGCAGTCATTAAAGAAAACATTTTGGCTCACCACCTTCACTAAGGATAAGAAAAGGTGCTGTGGCTTCCAGTTCATAGAGAAATAACTGTTCAAGTGACTTTTCAGCACACAGATGATTAGAACATTATGGAGAAATTAGTGTGAAGTTAGCTATATATTAATACCACTGTATCTGTAGTTTTCGATGATAAATGAAAATGAATTATGGAATCCATATAGCTTCACTTCATGCTAGTATTTTCTTATCTGATTGTGGCAGCATTAATACATATGTAAGGATCTTAAACTAATCTCAGATTGTAATTCAGCAAGTTTAAATCAATCATTCTGTTCTTAAAAGAATACTAGCTAAAGTTATTTTTCTGAAACATTGATATTCCATATATTTTATACAGCCCATCTGTTACATTATTGGAAGAGATGACAGAAAGAGAAAGGTTGGATTTGTTTGAACAGCTAACTCAGCAGCTGGAGCACTATAAGGTAAGTTACCAAGCAATAAATACAGTAGATGTATTTGAAAGTCATTAAGCTCATCCACATAACCTGTTCTCTATAGTGTGAAGATGCCACTGTTACCATTTGCTGAGGACATATCCTTACACTGGAGCCTCCATCTTGTAGGCTGCCTGCTACTGAAGCTGGTTTAAGATGCTGGGTTGTTCTTGTTTCTGTTTTAAGTGGTTCTGTTGAATAGTCAGCAGTTGAATTACATAGCTACAGCTTAATGCACGTAATTGAAGGTGTTTGAATTGTTTCAATTAAAATTGAAAGGACTTGGCTCTTATGCTTCGGTAGCATGTGGGGTAAGGAATTCCTTTCCCAGTGATTGTTGCTTTTAGGAAGCCCTGGTTCCCCATTCCTACTCCTCATGAACTGTTTTTTTTAAACTATTCCATTGTACAAGGTAATCTGGTATAGATACAGCTTTAACATACTTTTGTCTCCTATTCTTTGGATAATTGGAGCTGTATGCATACTGTTATCTGACAAAAAAATCAATACAATTTCTTAAACTCCAGCTCTTCAGCAACATTTATCCAATGTCTACATCTTGGTTGCACAAATCCACACTACCACTAGATGGCAGCCAGGATGGACAAAAACTCCACCTTTTTGTTTCCATCTAGTGGCCAATAGATCAATTAGCTGCTAAGTCAATAATCGTTTTGGAGGAATTATGAGGATGTAATCAAGAGCATCTTTCTCTCCCACACATATCACACACACACACACCCCGTTCTTGAATTTCAGCTCCCAAAGCACTTACACAGTGGCTACACCTGAGCTGCACAAATCCAGGTGATTACTACCTCACAGTTAAATACAAGCTTTCTGCTGCCCACTGTTGATCATTAGGTTAACAGTACTTTGGAAAAGAAAAAAATGATTGGATGAAGTGCCCAAGCCTTAAAAGCACTGCCTCAGCACACATTCTGTACAGTGATTAGTAGTGTTTTTTCACATCTGTGGTGATACTCAGATTTCACCTGGGTGAAACAATCAATCACAGTGCAGTGTTACATGGAGGAACTAGTGGACAGCAGCACAACATGGCCCATTCTAGGTGCATGTTAAGGGCATATTGTTGGAGCATGCAACTTATGCTAACATGGTTCCCTCCTAGCATAATAGCTCAGTAATTTATTTAAAGGGTAGCTAGTAGCCAGATATACTAATTGATGAAAAGGATAATAAACTAGGTATTGAAGTAGGAAAAAAGGTACAGCAGAATTGTGGAAACAGTTCTTAGTAAAAGAAAGACAGGGATCATACATCATGCTAAGCCATAGTTTGATTAACCATAATTTGCTGTATAAGCTGCAGCGTGAAGCCAAAATTAGACAAGCCACATTATGTGTGTTATGTAAACAAGATGGAAGACTTTTAGCCAAACCAGAGTTAAATCCTGTAAGGTGGTGTAGATGAGACATTTCAGAATATGCATTTTGAAATGGGATTGGATTGGTGATTATGTCTTGGCAGGTTATATTCACAACCTCTTAAACCTGAAGTTAGCTAACTATTTTTTTACTCTCTCCACTGTAGTTCTTGAATAGTACATTTATACTGCGTGTATTGGGTAAATGGGGTTTCTGATGAATTAAGTATAGTCTATTATTTTGCTTCTCTTTTTGTTTATTATTGGTCAGTCCTTTCATACTTGCAGCCCACCTTTAGTTTAAATGTGACGTGAAAACCCACTTCCTTCTGCATGGTTGAAATGCTGCTACCCAGCTTAAAATGAGGGGAGGGGGATATCTTATTTCCAGGAGGAATTAAAAAAAAAAATTAAATGTATCTTTTTAGTACCTTATGCAGCTCTATAGACCTTTTTTTTTAATTTTAAAAACCTAACAACAGAATTGTAATGGTCTAGTATTTCGCCATTTTCATCTTATCACATTGTTTTCAAAGATAATTTCCTGTATTTACAATTTCCTGTATTTAAAATATTCACTTTACATATTTTACTCATAATTCTAAAATCATCATTTTGAACGTTTTTCCCTGAATTTGTCTTGTTCATTCCTCCACCTTGACTTTGCTTGCGTTGGTACTCCAGTTGTTAAAAACCAATGCTATATCTAACAGTTGTTCAGTTCTCATTTTCTTTATGAAGATTTGGTTTTCTCAACCTGTGATGTTGCTAAAATGTCATCTGCATATTGTAGCATAGTATTACATTTTAATGCTGATTACCAAGAGTATAGATTGCTGTAATGTATAAAATAGTGCAAAATGATTAAATAAAATTTTAATTTCCTACTCTTAATCATACATTTCTCTTACATGTTCCCTTTAGGAAGAACTTTGTTCTTTACAACTGCATTTGGACAAAAAACATTTGCATGAGATTGAGTTGTTAAGATCTACTCTTACACTCCAATACCAAGAGAACATTATGAAGATGAAGTTGGAGCTCTCAGATAGATATACTTCTGAAATAGAACAACTAAAAAGGAAACATTGTTTAAATCTTGAACAGCTACGTGCCAAAATTTCAGAAGAACACCTTAAAGGTAAAAGGCTGTGTCTCATAAGCAAGATGTGAATTTTGAATGCCCCAACTTGTAACAGATTAATAAATGGGCACATTTTATATCAAATGTCAAAGATAAACACACGATTATTCACTTAATCAGTGGTCACATGTTACACAGGCAGACCTCGCTTACTGACTACCTTGTTCAGCGACTGTTTGAAGTTACAGTGGTGCTGAAAAAATAACTTTATGACCAATGCCGGTATTTACGACCTTTGTAGCATCTGTTAGTCACATGATCGCCATTACAGTCAGTACATATTGTCCTGTGCCTGACCTGTTGTTTTTCTTTTCCACCCCTTCGGGAGTGGAGAGATTGGAGAGGAAGGGATTACGAGAGAGTAAGCAGGCACACAATGGGGAATACACATCAAAAGGAATGTAGTGGCACCAGCAGCCCTGAGCATGCTAGGCAAACAGCCAGTGTATTCCCCATTGTGTGCCTGCTTACTCTCTTGTATTCCCTTCCTCTCCAATCTCTCTACTCCCCAAGGGGGGGAGGGTCAGGCACAGGAGAGATTACCTACAGAAATTGCTTGTTTTTGTTTTCTTTTTTTCCCCCTTGCAGAGTGAAGAGATTGCTTAAATAAACAAGAGGGGGCAAGAAGAAAAAGCAGTATCTGTAGGCAATCTTTCCTGTGTCTGACCTGCCCCCACCCCCCACCCCCCACAGAGGAGAGAAATTGGAGTGGAAGGGATTACAAGAGGCTAAGCAGCCACACAGTGAGAAATACACTAGGCTGTTTGTGTAGTGCGCTAGTGGCTGCTGATGCCAGTGCATTGCTTTGTGTATTCCCCATTGTGTGTGCCTGCTTACTCTCTTGTAATCCTTTCCTCTCCAATGAATGTAAATACAAAGAGTTCCGTTCTTGCTAGTTATGCCAGCGCTTGGGTGAGCATTCCAAAAGGTGGAGAGTGGTTAGGAGGCAAACCAAAGCAGAAATATGAAACTGATTAGTCTTGTCAGTTTTGAGCTGGCTATTCCAGTGCCTAAGGCAGAGGAGTGGAGAAAAGGAAAGCACAATCACAGTGATGTGATTTCCCACTTAGCAACTGCTTTGCTTAATGACAGAGCTGCTGGTCCCAATTGTCGCTAAATGAGGACTACCTGTACCTTAAAAATAGATTATTGGTGACTTCATTTTTATAACACTTTCTTGGTTCTCAAATTATGTATCATAAGTAATGTACCAGAAGATACATGATAATTGAAACCTCTGAAAAGCCTTGGAAATAGCTGTTAATTATTAAGGTTAATTATTGAGATTAAATATGCATTTTACTATGAGTATTTTATATGGGAGCAAATTAGGGTTCCTGATAACAGTTTTGGGACATAGTTTTTATTTTGAGATTTTGCTTGTTTAAAAGAAAATAAAAACTCTGAAGAATTGAAGAGATAAAACACTCATGATTTAAGAACACAACTAAATGTCACAACATTATTTGTTGCTGTTGTAAATCTTGTAAACTGATAAAAAAACACAATGTAAAATAACACAGTAATTTTGTAAAATATCTTAATGTCTAATTTCTTTGGGGTCATTCAGTCTTGTATCTACAAAGTTTGGTAAACTTCATATCTGTAATGTAGTTACATTACTACATTAAAAATTATGTTAAATTGTTTTATGTGTAACTTGACAAACTGGACTAAATGGATTAGTTCCCTGGTTATATTGTTAAGAGCAAAATTTTATAAAACATTTTATAAAATGTACTGCAATTCTTAGTATATTGTGTTCCTGACCTATTGATTAGATAACAGTAGCTCTGTTAATCCCATCTGTAGGAATTTCAGCGTACTTTTCAATACATATATCTTCCCTATTGTCTCTTTAACTTGCAGAAGTGTAGCTCTTCCAGACGTTCACTTTTGGATAAACACTAGGACAGAACCAATATTCTCCAGCTATTTTATGTGGGTTAACATTTGTCTCTTACCAGAGAATTAGATTTATGAATAATTTTAACTGCATCATAGTAGAAGTGACAACAGTTTCTCAGAATTCACAAGACAAGGCATCAACCACAGTCTACCAAATCCTCTTTCTCTATGCTTTAAAACATTTTATCATTTTCAGAAATTACTAAAATTCGTCTACAAAGTGCTCAAGATGCTGCACGTCAGATAGAAACAGAGGTGGCAGAGCAACTCTTGTTGTTGGAGAATGAGTACAAGAATGACCTTGGTTGTCTTCAGCTTGAGATACAGTCCATTTCTGCTCAACAAGAAGAAATAGAAAAACTGAAGAGAAAAAATACTGAATTAAAGGAAATCAGTGTACAACAAGAAAAGCTTTTGAAAGAAGAATTAGATCAGGTATATATTGAGCAATGCAAAAATACTGCTTTTAGGAATAATTTGGTTTAAACATATCAATTATCTTTATTATTGAAAAATAATAATCTATTCCATTTTTTAAAAATGCCTTCAGTGTTCGTATTTACTGTGTAGTTATCCTCACTTCCAAGATTACTGAAAATAATTTTAAAAAACATGTTCTTTTATTTAAATAACGTATTTTATTTAAATCAGAGTTTAAAACAATTGTTTTATTAAAAATGAAACTAGCTCAAAGATATTATCATGAACATAGCTTCTAAGTATATTCTGTTCAAATTGCTAATGCTAATATAGAAATAAGTGAACTGACTGTAACAGACATTTTTCTAAAAGTCAAAAGACAAAGAAAGTCAGTGAATAAATAATTTGAGATCAGCTCAAGAAAGAGGAGCCTGGATATATGCAAGGGAAAATGAACAAAAAGTGGGGAAAGCCATTTCAGCCATATGAGGATTTAATAAATAAGTTTCTGGATATGAAGTGTACAAACCTAATCATAGCAACAGGTCCCTAAAAATACCCCATAGGGAAGTATTTTGGTAAAGTTTGACTTCCTGTATATGTGGGTAAGGCACAGGCAAAATGCAAATAGTGCAGTAAAGAAATGCAAGGCCTAGTTGCTCAAATGAAACATTATTATGAAAACTGTTGCTCCATCTTTGAAGAATGTGAGAGTTCAATTCTATTGTCATCTGTTGAAGAATAGAATTTCTAATATAGTTTTTTGTTTGGTTTATTGACAGCTTCATCCATAATAAAACAACAAAGGATGCAGTTCTGATCAATAGTGCAAAATGGGTAGAGAGAATTAAAATGGCAAGAATGTTGGGAAAGTTGATATGTTGCCTTAGTATTTACAATAACAAGGGGTGTGAATACTGTGTTTGCTGGATGTATATCTTGGATTTTAGGAAAACTGATTTTGAAAAGCTTAGATAAGTTCTGATGGCTAGACATTATGAAAGAAAAAGAGATCAAGAGGGGATGGGATATCATAAAACTGAAACCACAACAACAAATATTCCCATAAGGAGGAGGAAAAAGAGTTGAAGCTATTCTTTGAGACAAGAGCTCTCTGATGAACTAAGGCTTGCAAGAAATATGGATAGAAGAGACAGAGGTACGGTTTAGTTGGGAAGCCTAAGAAGCAGAAGGAGCTGTACCATGCTAAAAGAAGAAAACAGATTTACTTGCCTTGTTAGGAACAAGAAAAGGGTCAAGGAAAGATTGGATCTGTTGCTTGGAGAAGATGGTGAAATGATGTTAACAGGTGATGGAAGGCAACAGTTTTGACTTCCTGTGTTTTCTCAGTTGATACCATAAGAGGTGTTATATGCAACATGGGACAAGTAGAACTAAAGATTTAAGGAGCACAGAATAGATACAGTGGTACCTTGGGATACGAACTTAATCTGTTCCGTGACTCTGGGCGTATCCTGAGTTGGTCGTAACCCAACGCAAATTTCCCCATAGGGTTCAATGTTAATCTGTTCCGCCCTCCGAATTTTGTCGCACCCCGAAGCAAATT